TCACTGGAACGCGCAAGCCCCCTCACCACGACAAGGTGACAGTCCATCGAGGGGGATGCTGTATGTCTAATGTCATTGAATGCTTGCCATGTATATGAGCATTGTAATCCACTTTGAGTCTCCCTGCGGGGTGAGAAGTGTGGAATATAAATACTGTAAATAAATAAATAATGGATCCGGATCAAAGTTGACACGAATACTCAATATGCCTGAATGTGAACACTGGTGGAGTTTGTGGAAAACAGACCTTGACACTTGGGAGTTGTAGTTGCTGGGATTTATAGTTCACCTGGTATGACACCAGAAGCACTCCAAGTGGCTAGATACTGGTCAAAGGACATTTAATCAACTACCAAACTCACAAATTTTGTATTTTGTCTGTTTGTTTGTTTGCTTTGTTCTGTTAGAAATGTAATATAATTTGACTGGTTGTCCTGACACGACAAATAAATATAGTTCACCTACAGTCAAGGAGAATTCTGAACCCCACCAATGATGGGATTGGGCCTGATCAGAAAACCCCACATCATCTGAGGGCCCTTCCACACAGAACCCCCATGACCAACCGCTGCCTTAAAGACCTTGTGAAACTACAACTCCCAGGACTCTCCCTTAAGCCTAGGCTGGAGAGGGGCGGGGCCGCATTCCTGCCTTCCTTCCTTCCTTCCTTCCTCCCTTCTGCAGTGCAGCTGCGGCCCAATCCCCTTCCTGCCTTGCCTCCCTCACCCGCGAGGGCGCTGCCCCTTTAAGAAAGAGCCCTGCCGGAGAAGAAGGAGGCGGGAACGACGGCGCCGCCGCCGCCACAGGAAGCGCCGAGGAAGAGGGGAGGCCCAAGATGGCGGCGGCGGTGGTGGCAGCGGCCGAGCGGCTCCTCTCCTCAGAGGCGGCGGAGGGAGGCGGCGACGTGTCTGTAGCCCTGGAGCAGCACTCGGGCCGGCTCTCCCCTCCTTCTCCGGCGCTCCAGCCCCGCGGGGAGGCCCAGGCCCTGGAGCAGCAGCAGCAGCTGCCTCAGAGCAACACGCTGGTGGGCCTCCCCATCGTGGCCATCGAGGGCATCCTGGGCTTCCTCTCCTACGACGAGACCAGCCAGCTGCGCCTGGTGAGGGGCCCGCGGGGCAAGGAGATGGGGGGGGGGGGAGGATTGTAATTCAATGCCGTGGAATCCTGGGAGTTGTAGTTTGGCGAGGCACCATCACTCTGTGGAAGAGAAGGCTACCGACCTCCTAAAACAGCAGATCCCAGCATTCCATAGCATTTATTTATTTATTTATTTATTTGTCGTGTCAGAACAACCAGTCAAATTATATTACTTTCTAACAGAACAAAGCAAACAAGCA